AAAATGGTTAATAATAATTCACCAAAAGTAATACTTACAGATAAAAATAAAATAATTTCTTAAGCTATATAAAATATTTTCAGTAAAAATAGTAAACATGTATTATATATATGGTATCTTTAAAAAAATGTAATCAAAAATTTATGTAGTATATTAGAAATAAATTAGTATAATTTTACAAAAGTATTTTATCAATATATAAAGAATATAAAGTTGATAATTATATAATCAAATGGCAATAACTTCAAATAGACTTTTTAGATTGCAAAGCACATTTAAAAAGAATGGATAAAGTAAAAGAAAAATTAGTATCTTGTTTGAATAATAATATATATTTAACTAGAGCTTTGCAATAAGCTGAGCTGCTTGCAAGCTAAACGAGCCAGTTCTCTAGGCTTAGCTCAAGTCACTATAAAATGAGCTATGAGCCAGACAAGTCAGCTTATACTGTAGCTTAACTTGTGCTGCAGCTTAGCTCATTGGCTTATATTTTCTTCTTTAAAGTAAATAAATCCAAAGGAGGTTTTTCTTTGAAGAAAAAATATTTAATGGCATTTACTTAAAGAAAAACAGCCACAGTGATGTTTTCTTTAAAGAAAAATGAACTCAGTGACATTTACTTTGAAGAAAAACTAATCTGGTAATGTTTACTTTAAAGAAAAATGAATCTGATGACATTTTCTTTGAAGAAAAATGAATTCAGCAATATTTTCTTAAAGAAAAATACATCCAGAGCTGAAGAAATTTGCTTTCAAAGTGATTTCTATAAAGGATTTCGATTCCAAATATTATTTCTTCAAAGGAAAAGCCACAGAGATGATTCCCTTCAAGAAAATCCTTTCAGAAGCAAAATTCTTCAAGGAAATCATTCTGGTAACAAAATCCTTCAAGGAAATCATTTTGGTAACGAAGTTCTTCAAGGAAATTGTTCTGGTAATAAAATCCTTTAAGAAAATCATTCTGATAATGAAATCCTTTAAGAAAATCATTCTGGTAATGAAATCCTTCAAGGAAATCATTCCAGTAACGAAATCCTTCAAGGATATCATTTCAATAATGAAATCCTTCAAGAAAATCATTCTGGAAATGAAATCCTTCATAGAAATTATTCTAGAAATAAAATCTTTAAGGAAATCATTCTGAAAATGAAATCCTTTAAGAAAATCATTCTAGAAATAAAATCCTTTAAGGAAATCGTTCTGGAAATAATATCCTTCAAGAAAAATATTCTGTAAATGAATTCCTTTAAGGAAATTACTCTGGAAATGTTTCTCTTGAAGAAAAGTGTCTGGAAATATTTTTCTTAAAGTGAATTATTCTGGAAACGTTTCTCTTAAAGTAAATCATTTCAGAAATATTCCTCTCAAAGGGAATCATTTCAGAAACATTTCTCTCAAAGGGAATTGTCCTAAAAATGTTTCTCTTAAAGGAATCATCTGAAAATGTTTCTCTTAAAGGGAATCATTCTGAAAATGTTTCTCTTACAGGAAATCATTCTGGAAACATTTCTCTCAAAAGAATCATTTCAGAAATATTTTTCTTAATAGGAAATGTTTTTCTTGATGGCATTTCATTTCAATATATTTAATGCAAGCTGAATGAACTAGCTTGGCTTGTCAATTGATCACTCAAGCTGAGCTGAGCTGAGCTGAAAAAAAAGTGGCTTAAATCGAGCCAGTGGTAAGCCAAGCCAAACTGGCTTATGCAGAGCTTTATTTTTAATAGATATAATAAGTATACAGCGTGAAGAATCAATAAATAATTTTATAAAAAATTATATGAATATAACTAATTCACTTTGGATTTTCTAAAGGATTTTGAATCTGTATTAAAATAGCATGATATTGATTTACAATTATTTAAATATTGGCAAAATCAATTTAATGTTATTTTAAAAATAATAAACTTATTTAAATATCAAGTAGCAGAAATATTAACAAGTTATGTATTAAAATTAATATAGGAATAATTATTACAAATTTCTAATTATTCTTGTATAGTATTGTTTGATTTAAGATATTTTAATTATAATGTATTTTTATAAAATTTATTTAATTTATTTAATTTAATTTATTTTTAATTATTTAGAACTCAAAATATTTAATTATTTCATATTCATTGATTTAATTATAATTATGAATCTGAAAGAAAAGTGTAATATGATCAACAATAATATTATTTTTGTGTTCATGTAAATATACATCTTTTTTGAAATTATATGTCAATATATATTTTGTGTAGTAATACAAATGAATTTAAATAAATTACCAAATTTACTATTTTATTAACATTGGCAAAAAGATCTAAATAATCTTATTTTAATATAATATAAATCATTTGGATTCCTTAGAAATAAAGATTATAAATATTTGTTGATAAAACTTTATATAAAATAAAAAGTTTGATAAAAAAGCATTCAGAATTATTTAAAGAATTTTATTTTATAAATAATATTTTATTGGAAAATAAATTAAAAGTTATTTATTAAACTTATCATATAAAATATAATACTTTACAAAGTATAATCTTAAAAATATAATAATTTTAAAAAAAGTATTTATAATTGATATTTTTTAGTTTATTAATATTATAATATTATATTATTTTATTAATTTTAAAAAATTTTAATTAAAGAAAAAAATTTAACAAAAAATTTATCAAATAAAAAATAAAAAAATTCAATTGTTAGTGATAGTGATTTATTAATATAAGAAAAAGTAAATATAACAAATTATTAAAAGGATGACTATATATTTAATATGTTTAGTCTAATATATAAAGTATTTTAAAATTTATCATAAATGTCTGTAATAAAATTAATGAATATAGAAATAAATGATATAAATGCTAAAATAAAAAAAAGGTATATTTATTTTATAAAACTTATGAATTTTAAATATAATAATAATTAATTAATTTTTTTAATACTTTTAAATGAATTATCATATTTTTTTTGTAATTAATCTCTAATCCTTTACTAAAAAAAATTACTCAAATATTTAAAAGTATTATAAAAAAAAGTAAATTTATATTTAGTTTATTTCTATAATAATAATAATTATATTAAAATATTTTGATTTCTTTAAAAAAAATATTAGAAATCGATTGTGCAGAGTTTTGTTTATGTATTATACAGAAACAAAAATTATTTTATTGGATATAAAAGTAGATTATCTTACATACATCAATTTTAAAATTTTATTAAATTAGGTTAGTAATATTCAAGATGATTTATTAGACATTATTAATTGTAAATAATTTAATAATTTATTATTATCAGTTTATAATGAAATTGGATTTCAAAAAGCAAATATATCAATGATGATAATGAAAATAAGTGAAGAATTAAGAGTAAGAATTAATTTATAAATATATTTTTTTTATAATATATTTTAATATATTTGTTTATAAAATAATTATCACAGAAGTTTTAGCAAATTTGTTTTTAAAAATAAATATTTTAACATTTGAAATGATTAAGCCTTTAAAACTAATTGATTATTTATATAAAATATTAGTTTTAAAGATAATTATTAAATTAATAATTCAAAATTTTAATGGAAATTTATCATTAAAAAAGTAAGAAAAATTATGAAAGATAATGTAGATTTTGATGTATATACAGTATATATAATTATTAAATAATTATTATACTGTAATAAAAAAAAAGTTATAATTTTTGAATTTTTATATGAAATTTAAGTTTGTAAAAATTACGTTTATTTAAGAAAATTTATGCAAATATTTTTATATTCTTATTACAGTAGTTGTATAAATATAATATTAATTTTATTTACAAAAATAGTATAAATTATAATATTATACAAATCAATTTTCATTCAATAAAATTTGTTAAAATTTATTGTACATCTTTAACGTAAGTTAAACATCTACATTTTTGAATTAAGTTAAGAATATCTTTACTAGACCTTTTATATCAACATGTCTGTCTATTTAGTACATAATAATTATTATTACATAATTATTATACTAGATCTTTTTTTAAACAATAACATAATTTTTTTTATCAATACTATTTTTACATTTTTTTTCAAATAAAATATTACTTTTTTTTGATTGTTAAATAAAATACTTGAAATTTTAGCTCTGAATATATAATAGTTTCTGTTAACCTAGTTATAGAACTGAATAGGACCCCTAATTATAATGATTAGAATCTTATTATGATAATTGATGTGATATTTATTAAGTTTATTAGTATTAAATAGTGTGATAATTTGTAATATTTATAATACTTGCATACATTTTAACTTGATATATACACATTTTTTTAGAATCTTTGATTATATTAAGATAACTGTATCATATATTATTTCAAAATATCATGTTATAAGTTATGATAAGACTTCTGATTACAAAGATATCACATTAAGATAACCATATTATATACTTTAGGAATAATTCTCCTAAGTAATACAAGTATAACTATATACTTTGGTCATTTTAATACTAGTAAACTTAGTAAATATTATATCAATTATCATGGCAAGATACTAATCATTACAATCAGGGACTTTGTCATAATCTTAAATTTTAGTATCTTACAGACCCTTAATTACAAAGATATCACATTAAGATAACTGTATTGTACACTTTAGAAATAATTCTCCTAAGTAATATAAGTATAAACATGTACATTTTGATCATTTTAATACTAGTAAACTTAGTAGATATCATATCAATTATGACAAGGTTCCACTAATCCTAAAAAAATATTTTTGCCTGATCTGTTACTTTTAAAACAGAGATATCAAGTTAAAATAGTTAAAATGTAATACAAGATCATAATATCACAAATTATCATATATCATGTGATATTTTACAAACTGTATTCACAATATAAAAGTGTGTATCTATGTATTATGATTTCAAATTTTAGCACTTGATATTGCTAAAGTTGTACTGTATATATATATATCCAATAATTTAAAAAAATTTTTTTTTATCTATTTATGTTACTTTTAAAACTAAGAATAGCTATGTCTAATATTACAGAATATAATCTCTCTAATTTTCTGACAATTGATGTAATAAAAGAATGGAATCAAAATAACGTTAAAGAATTTTTACAAAGAATTAGAACTGATTTAGAGCTTGAAGCAAATGATATCTATGAATAGTATGTCACTGGTAAAGCCTTCCTTCATTTAAAAAAAAAGAACAGCTCACTCATGATTCTAGCCTATTTAAATTGCTATTTGGACCTGCTTCAGCAATTGCAGATGTAACCATTTTCTTTGCGAAATTTTATACTCAGAGTAAGAATGAACAGATATTCAAATGGTATAATATACTGTATTTCATTATAGGTTTGACTGGGTCTTAGATATGTGTATTAGAAGCTATTTATGTTGAGAAACCACTTGTTGAGCTCCTAATAAATTTGATACCTCTCATCTCTATTAATGATTAAACTCATTTAAAGAAAATTGCATGATTCTTCATGATCTTGCATCTGGGTTATGATGAGCTAAAAAATTATTATAGATCACTGCCATCTTCAATAACAAATAAACAAAGGTTTTTCTTCTACATTTGTAGAATAGAAGATTTAGAATTCGATTACAAGGAAAAACTTGTTGATAATTTATACAAGCTTCTTTGAAAGGCTGAAATGAAAGACAAACAGATAATTATTGTTAAGTTTACGTATCGTTACAACAAAGAGACACACAATTTGTATTACAAAATTGGAAAGACATCAAGGCTATTCTATGTTTCAGATGAATAATGTAAACTTCATATGATAGTTATGGAATTTGTTAAAGGTCAAATATTACATGATTGTATTAATTTGGCCTAATCTGATTATAAAGTAATTATCAATGACATTGAAAAGGCTGTCTTTTATTTACATAAAAATAATCTTATTTTTGCAAACCTTTATGATTCTAATATCTTGATTATCAGAGATAGTGAAGGGTATCACAAGATATTGATAGATTTTGACTGGATCAGCAGAGAGGATGTGGAATTTTATCTATTATTTATTAATCTTGATATTGCTTGGCCAACTGAAGTTAAAGATAATGAACTGTTGAAGAAGGAACATGATGTGTATTAGTTGAATTGGTTGAAAAAGAAGTATTTAGGTGAAGAGAATTTAGTTAAAATCAAATGAATCATCTAAAAGATAATATTATTTTCTTTTTTTTCTATATATAAATAAGCGACTGCAAGACACAATCTCAATTTTTTTTATACACAAATTAAAGTATTCGTTAATTTGTGTTTGGCTTGATTTTAAATTGTACATTGTACAGTAGCGGTCATAAGTATCCGACCGCCCGAGATCGTCCAAAATTATTATATAACTACCCCTTAAATTTTCC